TGTAATATGAAAGAAAAAGCAGCTGTTTGAAAGAAGAAAACTGGCGCTCCCCATCGCTCATGCCTGAGCTCTGCAGAGCAGGAGGTGAGCGGCGGGCAAGGGAGCGAAAACTGGCACTCTTCATCGCTCGCGCCTGAGCTCCAGAAAGCTCAGCTCCTGCTCTGTGGAGCTCAGGTGTGAGTGCTGGGCGCTGGTTTTCACTCGCTCGCCTGCCGCTCACCTCCTGCTCTGCGGAGCTGCCCTGGTTACAGCCCTGGCTCAAATGAAGGCTCCACTCCCCCAGCCCTGCCACTTGAGTATTGGTGTATAACATGCAGCTAAGATTTCAGCCCCAAATTTTAGGGAAAAAAGTCTGTGTTATATGCCGATAAATACGCTATATAAAATAAACAGCTTTTTGTGGGAACCAGAATTATTTTGTCTACTGTAAGTCATAACAGAGATTAGAGACCCTATGACTTAAATTGGACACTAGAGGGAACTAAAGATTCCAGGCAAAAAGGAAAAAAAAAACCCTGCCTTAGGATTGGGATCTATAAAATGACATAAAACACTATAACATTTGAAATATTAAAGGAAATCTTTGAACAATAGGGCCAGAAATTAGTAACCACAATATCAATAACAATGTCTGCTTCTATGGATAGACTATGTTTAAAGGATGTTAATGAAGGAATGACAGAACAATAGGGCCAGAAATTAGTAACCACAATATCAATAACAATGTCTGCTTCTATGGATAGACTATGTTTAAAGGATGTTAATGAAGGAATGACAGATGTGAAACAAATCTTGCTTGATGCAGAAATAGTGGAACCAGAAATACTGGATTAAAAAAAAAGTGTGTATAGAGAAGGTATTTAAAGTGGAAATAGAAGTGGCAGGCCAAGAGAATGACCCAGATAAGGACTCTTGTGGATCTCTCAGCTACCTTCACTACCACTGATGAAGGTGTACTTCTGGACCAACTTCAAGGGCTCCAAATGAGAGGCATTGTGCTGCAGTGGTTCCTCTCCTTTTCTAGGAGGTATTTCTAGTCAGTGGGTAGGTGGTAAATTCCGAGGGCCCTCCAGTATGGCATGCCACAAGCCTTGACTCTCCCCTTTTATTTAACATCTACATGAAGCTCCTACAAGAGATCATCTGAGAGAAAGGGTCAGGTATCATATATATGCTGATGATACTCAGTTATAAATCTCAGCTATGGGCTCAAAGGAAATGCTGTCAAGGTTCTGTCTGAGTGTCTGGAGGATGTTAGTGCTTGGATGGTGGCAAAGCTCAGATATAATTCCAGCAAGATGGGGTGGTTTGGGATTTTGAAGGCTTCTGATTTTAGTGGTATTCCATCTTTGGTCCTGGATGGAGTTGCATTTCCCCTTGCAGAGCTGGTTCATAATTTGAGGGTCCTCCTGAACTCAGTTTGTGGTCAAGGAGCAGATGACAGTTGTGGCTAGGATGGCCTTTGCACAATTGCTGTCTGTACACCAGTTATAACCTTCTCTGTAAGGCCCTGTTCAGTTACTCATGCCTTGGTCTCTTGTTTAAACTACTGCAGTCCCAATGCAGGTGCCCTCGGAGAGCATTAAGAAGCTGCAGTTGGGCCAGAATGCAGTGTCTCAGTCTTGGATAGTATTTGATTTATGCATGTGACACTACTACTGCAAGATCTGCACTGATTCCCAGTTGGCTTTCAGGTACAATTCAAGGCGCTGATTATCATTTTTAAAGCCTTTCATAGCTCAGGACCTGGGCATCTTCAGAACCATCTTCTTGCGATGACTTCTACCTGTTCAGTAAAATCAAATAGGTTTGCCACCCTCCAGGTTCCTACCTTTATGGAATGTCATCTTCAGGGACATTATGAGTTAACTATCTCTGTCACTGCCATTCTTCTCTGGAATAGTATCCCCCTGGAGATCAGATTGACTCCCATGCTTTTAATATTTCATAAGGCCATTAGGACCTAGCTGATTTAGCAAACCTTTGGGGTCTGAAAGGTGGGATGATTCCTCATATAGGGGAATGTTTGTTGTTTATGGGTTTCCCATTGTATCTTTTTAACCAGATTACCAAAGAAGGGTACGTGAGCCACTTAGAGTCACTTGTTATTTGGAGTGGCATATAAATCTAGATGGATGGATGGATAGATCAATCTTGAACTGAGGGGGGAATGGTCAAACAAAAGGAAATTAAGACTAAAGATGGGAATAAATAAACCATTCTCACAAGCAAGGGAAGGAAGCAATAGCATCAAGGAAGGATCTGTATTGAGGCCTATTTTATTTATAATATGATCTTAAATTATGGGAAGCTGGGGTAGGTGATCTAGTTGGTGGATAACACCAGATTATTCAGGATGTAAAGAATGCAAAGAAGATTGCAAAGAGCTCCAAAGGGATATCTCCAACTGATTAACTGCAACATAAACAACTGTAAACCTATGAATACAAAGCCTAAGAGTTCTAAATCAAAATAATACTTATCGGGGTAGGACAATTGGGGAACTAAAAAATCAGGAAGTTTGTATCATTATTTGTTGAACAAACAATTCCAAGTTTCAGTGAGTGGGTTCACACATCATTTGAAGCCAGAACCAGATTATGGATTAGTAGAGTAGGTATTTGGGTTTAGACTATAATTAAGGAGAACTGGGTTCAAATTTACACTCAGCCATGGAAGTTTACTGGGTGACTTTGGGCCAAATATTATCTCCCAGTGATATAATTTTTTAAAGGAAGAAATTGGAGATTCCCATCTTAAAAAAAGGCAAGATATAAATCTAGTGAACTATAGTGGCAAACACTGACATAGTGGGAGAGATATGAGTTGAGCCAGGAAAGCAAGCCAATCCTCAGAAGCAATGGATCTGAACCTGAGACTAAGTCTAGATACCGGGGTATTCTAAACCAGAGATCTTAAATCAAAGATTCTAAAGATTATCTTTACAACTTCTTATTCCTTGTCATTCCTACAGACTTTGATTTGTGTTTCCTGATTTACATTATCTGCTTAACAGCTTCCTCCTTGCTCTGGATCATCACCAATTCTGCTTTCTCCAGTCTCCACTGCTGACTCATTCTAACCAGGACTGGACAAAACAGTATGACAGGAAGGAGAATAATAAGGATTAGCTGAACAGCAGATTGTGCAGATGGCCCTCAACCTGAGCAATATAGTGGGCAATGGACAATTTTCTCCTCCTTTCTATGTTATTTAAGATCTTTTCCCCTTACTGAAATTAACTTCTCTGGGAACAGATGTTTCAAGATTTGTTGTCTTTGTCCAACAGGGAAGGGCCCATTTGCTTGAGGTTTATTACTCTCACTGATTTTAACTGTTTCCAAGAAAAAAAACTGCATTCACATATATTCAGATATTTTGCTTCTTATTCTTCTAAGTACACAAAATCCTTGATAGTGGTGATTACCACTAAAATTAATACACAGTTTTCCCAGAGAGAAGGGAAGAAAAACTTTCTGACATAAAAGAGACTAAGAGTTGAGAGTGACTAGGACTGTTGATTTGCAAGACAGTAGATGGGAGTTGTTTAAGAAAAAAAAGGAAAAGACATTCTGCTTTGGGGGTGGGGGGAGAAGAATTTTGACTAAGGATTACATACTTGTGTTAAATTGTAATCTTGGTTATGCTTGTTCGAGGCCACTTTCATAGTTTTACCTTTGTGTCCTATTAAAATCTTACTCTATAAATGTTGCCAGAAAGGCTCACTGAGGGTTAATTCCTTTAAGAATCTCCCTGTAGAAGAAGAATATTCTCTTATCTCAGAATAAGTAGTAGCTGTGTCCCAAAAAAGAAAAAGACTGCTGCCCTAAACTAGTCCTAACCCTAACCCAAACTCAAACTTGTTTTATATACTTTTAGTTACCACCTAGCTAGGAAAAGGGCCAAGGTAATAGGAAACCAAGACAAAGGAGCTGTGAGCCAGAGTCTGAAGGATTGATTCCATTTCACCCTCCACTCTCTATTTAATCTGTGGCTCCACTTCATTATCCTATTTATTTTTTATTTTATTTTTATTTACTCAGATTTCTATGCCATACCAGTCTGAAGACTCTGAACCATTTACAATCTGCTAACAGTAATGGGATTTAAAATCATATATCACAAAGAACAACAAACCCCATAACTTGCTTTTCCCACACAGCACACACATCTCATGTAATTCAACATTCCATCTCTTCCCCAAATGCCCTCTGGAGAGTGGATGGACAATGGTGATTATGTTTTATATTAAAGATGCTAAATTCGGTTTTCAATATTTATTAAGGTAGGGAGATTGCTGCTACATCTCATAGTGGAAGAGCATATTTCCAAAAGAAATTTTAAAAATCTGTATTGGTATAAGGAGTTGGTAAAAAACCTAATATACATGAGTCACATGACCTTTACCTCTTAGATCCTGTTGTGTGCGAGCACCAGCCATACTCTGACGAGGCATCCGGAGAGATGTTCGTATAGGAGCATGCCTCTGCTCATCTAAGTAAGCTAGATCTTCCAAGTGTGCTGAGCTGGTGGCTGTCCATAAGAAAATAATCAGATACATTCATAAATACATTCTAGTAAATAAATTAAGACCCCTTTGAATATGATGCTGAATATCACCTTTATTTTGAATATAGTTCCAATTATACAACTCTTATTTGTAAAATTCTGTAAATTATAGGCTCACTTTATTTTGCTTAAAACATTTATATTCATTCATTTCAATCCCTTAACTTCAGTAGAGCTTAAATGGTTCTCCCATATAGTAGATATTATGTTTCTCGATTTTTTTTTCCTAAACAGAAAGACAAACATTAAAAACCACAAAATTAAAACCTAGTGAAACAGCAACTGAAAAAAAGAAAAAGAAAAAAAGGAAGCTAATTATATATGTGATCTTAAATATAAATCAAACATTTTAAACATTCAGTTTTAATACTTTTCTCCAGAACAACAAAACAATCTATTAGAGAAAACATTAACATAGATAATAAATAGGAGCTAAATTTGAGTACATTTTGCTCCACTATCAAGTTTTTCAAAGCTCACATTTTCCTAGTGCTTTTAAAGACTTCCAAGAGAACATTTGATGCTTACTATAAAAGTTTACTGTAGCACTGATTATATTCCCTTACTATTAAATGAAGTAAGTATAAACAATTGTTCATACATTACTAATTATATTAATGAATGAGACCTAGATATACTGTATAAAGAAGGAAAGATTGAGCATGCCTCACTTGAAACCAAACTGGTACTTATGATCCTTTCTTTTCTAAATTACATTTAGAAATAACAGGATTTCCATCTATATTTAAGGTTCTAATTCTATAAACTCACCCAATGTTCCCATGTTCAAGGAATGGGAGAAAAGTAAAAAGGTCAGGAGCCAAAAATCATTTCAAAATTTTCTAAACCTCTGAAGTAACTTTTTAATGTTGTTTTGTAATTACTTAATGTCAGTGGCATTGAAAGAGAGTATGGGCCAGTCACTGTCTCTCAGACCAATCAACCTCCCAAAACTTATAGAATGAAAGGAGGGAAGACCCTCTGTAAGCCATCATGATTTATTAAAAGTAAATCAGAACAGAAATGCAATAATAACATACATAATAAATATTTGGTCTAAATAAGAACAAAAGCATGGAGATACTTGAAAACAACCAAGAATTCAAGGACACTCTTCTGGAACAGTGCAAAAAGGACTGAAGTGATCTCCCCAATCCTATAATAATGCATCTGCAATCCTGAATTATGCATCTATAGTCAGCAGCAGTCAGAGGCCTCTGGACCTGCTACGCAGAATGGGAGGCCTCAAGACCAGTTAGTTTTCAGCATCCACCACTTAAGAATTCTTTCACACTGTGGGGAACACGAACCTGCTTTTGAGTTAAGGTTTACTGGCAGTAATCAGTACCAGTCAGCCGCAGACCATTTGTGAACAGTTCCAGTTTGAAAAGGTAGCAAGCCAACAGACTGCTCTGGCTGGTTGAGTTTGTTGCTTGGATAGAAATATAGTGTGGTAAAATTGCATGTATGAGCAAGCTCAACTTCAGCATAACCTATCAGGCACAGCCCTTTTTTTCCACTGTGACAGACTGGTAGTTGGTGAGTGGTGGCAAAATAAGGAAGAGAGGTTTCCTCATCGCAAGTCAGTAAAAAAAAACAAAGGCAGCATTGGAGAACAGGAAACCAGGCTAGGCTAAAGTGGTGATGTGAAGCAGTGTTTCTCAGGCAATAACTTGTTTGGGACTCTTCCTTAACTTGGCTTTCAAGTAAGGATCTGTGTGTGGATCCAGAGATAAAGTGAGCATGTATACTGATGCTGGTTAAATCTAGAGAAACAAAAACTGTGCAATATATGGCTGTCCAACCAAGCTCTGAGAATTTTCCTATCTCTCTAATACACCATGCAAATATTTTTTATTACAAAGTGAATTCCAGGCTGTAGAATAATTATCAGGGAAATAATAATTGGTTTGAATTTTTTCACAAGATCACTAAGTTTAAGGTCCAAAGCAAGTAATTACAAGTGTCTGCCATATCACTAACATAAACTTTACTGGCTTGTACAGGTGCCACCTGAAGCTTCCATGGAATGTGATGTTAATTCAGGACTGCTAAATGTTGCATTATCCAAGTAGTCCTGATACTACCAGCCATGGAGTTTTTGCTTTGCATAATGCTTCGGTACAAACCAAAAATCTAGAATCCAGCAATCAAAATGCATTGTTATTCTACAAATTGTATTTTAAATACTTGAATCACTTGTCCAACAATTTTACAAAGAAAATTAATTATAACCCGCTGGATGAGATTCTTACCTGCTACAGAATTGGGCCGTGGCATAAGATAAAGTGGAATGGATTGTACTGATTGGGATAAAACAGTCTCTAGATTCCTGTCAGGGATCTTATTCAAACTGTATGTAGAAGCTGTCATGTTTTCATCCACTCTATATAAACAGGAGTCTATACTGGATTTTTGAGACTGCCAAGGTTTCAGGTTTCCTCCAGATCCTAATTCCTTACTGCTTTCCCCTCCATACTTAGCACGATCCATATTTTCAGAATAACTTGTCAGTGTTGCTGCAACAAACAATAAAAGACAATGAATAACAGAAAAAAAAAACCAATTTCTGTGACTTTACAGATGATAGATTAACATTGTCAAGATTTAATGCTATGGATTTTTCTTTTTTTAAGAAGCTTTGTGACAGTGTGAATGTATCCATTGCTCCTTCTGGTCTCTGTTCCATAGTGATTTCCATATTAACCTGGGTATCTGGTGGGTGAAAAGGCCAATTGAGAAGAAAGATAGGAGGTACAGTAACTAACTGTATATCCTATATCCTTTCTCAAATACCCAGAACATTCAGATACAAGTTATATGTTCAGTCTCATGGTAAAAACTTGCCAACCCTAATGGTGATTTGTATTATCAAAACATGAATAATAAATTCAACAATTATATAATACGATATATAGCAGTTATTCTACCAAGTAAAATCAAACATTAATATTATGGAAGAGTTGAAACTGCATATTTATATTGCAGTTGACAAATATAACATCACCATGGTCCATAAACAAATACGAAAGCCAGGAAACCCATAAATGTAGTATTTGCAACATCCTAATGCAACAAACAATATAAGAGAAATCCTAAGTCTCTTGGTTCCTTGTTAAAACTGATGTCAAAATGCAGAAGGTAGAGACTACTTCCATTCCCATCCTATACCTATGTCACATTCCCCTTTCCTGATGCTTTCCCCCACTTCCTTGCCTCATGTAGTTGAAGGAATCCTAACAGTTAATTACATAGTAGTAACTGGGATCTTTTAGACATTCAAATGTACAGGTATGGTGGTCCCTGTAAGTACTTCCTTACAGGTAAACAAATATAACAATCTTTATAATTTTATTATCCAATTCTTTGTATTTTTAATAAATTAACTACATAATAAAATACCCAGCCTATTCTTGATCATTTTGCTCTTATTTCCACAAGTAGGCCATTTGATAAAAAACATACTTCCTATAACATATATACATCAGCTCTTAGTTAATGTAGTTCTTTAAAATAAAACCAGTATTTATACTTTTAATTATTAAAGATTACAATTCTCTCATACTTAGATCATAGTTCTCTCATACTACAAATCAAATTAATTCTCAAGTAGCTCCTAGCTGGAACTCAAAAAGTAAACTGCTTTTTAGCTAATTAATAGAATTTTGAATGAAGAATATTTGTTTTATATTCTTCCTCTCTAGTACTTTAACATTCTATCTAGTAGTTTTTCATGAATGCTGTGATTTGCCATTGCTTAATGTCAGGGAAAGGTCAACCATGTTTGCTTCTGCAGGTAGAATCAGAAGCCTGATATGTAGGAAAGACTTCAGAGGTATACTGAGTAATAGGAGGTTGTGGATAAAAGGAAAAAAAAAAGGAAATTTGTGTGGTTTGGGGGAAGGAAAACCGCATGGATGTAGCATGGGACCATGTCATGCTTTCAATTACACTTGGGAAGACATTTCAATCTGACTCATAATTGGGATAGGATTAACAAATTAATATGTTGAAATCCAAGGAAAATATTTATATTCACAAGCCATTTATGATCTGACACAGGCTTGAACCACCCTCTATTTTATATTCTTCATGACTTCTATATAAGATGTTCCTCATCTTAACCTGCAAAAACAAAATTCACCTTTTTTTACCAAGCTTCATCTCGAAAGAAAGATTTTTCAAGGTGAGCTAGGACAGAGCTCTTTAACTTTTCCAAATCTTAAACTTCAAGTTGAAATACATACTTTCCCTCAAGTTTAACTTGAGCTTTTCCAATGTTTTTTCTCACTTTTAATATAATAGATATTCAGAAAATATATTTCCATCATATTAATAGGCAGGACTATGCAGAACTTCAGATTTGGGCTCCAAAAAGTGCTGTGGAATGGATTGGAGTGCAAATGTAGCAGCTAAATTCAGAAGCAATTCAACATTTTGGACTTTAAACTACTGATTTAGAGGATTTACTTCTATAAACCACCAAAATATCCCCGGGAACAAAATTGTCCAGAGGTGGTTCATCATCGAAATGGAAATGAACCACCCCAGCTATGCCTTTTCCTAAGATTTTGCTGCTATCCTTCTGTTTAAGGTAGTGCGACAGGAACTGTATTCACACACTCAAACATTCTGCAGCACCTTTTAGGGACTGAATAACTCTCTTCAATCAAACAGCACCTTATTTTCTTGTAACTGAGATTACATTATATGTAGCTTTCAATCATTTTCCTCAATAAATTTGAGGACAGAACATCCCTTTTATTTGTCCAAAACAAATCAACAGATCAACAATAAGAACATGTATAACTGAAACAACAATTTCTTTTCTTTTGGAGTTATATTCCTATGAATATTCCTACGGATAGAACTTAAAAAAACCCCCAGCAACAAATGATTTCAGCTCCCAGAAGTAGTACCTCAATAAAAGTTGGCCTTTATGCATGATGAGGAGGGGAAAAGGGTAGTAGTTTGCTGATCTCCAAAGACGACTCCTCCACATGCCCTACAGTGTCTGCATGGGAGGTCTTCTCCCAGCATGAGATGAAAAACAATCTGCTGAAATGTCTTAGCAGAACTTCACCATAAGATGGTGGCTCCATTGTGACTATATGTTCTTGGCAAATAACAAGTTATGTGGATGAGCTCTCTTTCAGTCTCTGAGCAGCCACTGCATGAGGCTCACCCTGGATTAAACATAATGAGGTTTCATATGTTTCTGCACCATCTGAACTGCAGTGAGATTCATCCACCCCCCCGACTTAGCTTCCTGCCCTTCCTCAATCCCACTGCCATGGTCACCTATCATCATGTGTGAACCATGATGATATTGACCTAGCAGAGCCAAACACGATATGCTGACTCTGAGGTCATATGTACTTACAGCACACAATATACAGCAAAGAATAATGCTTTGGTCAGCAGCAGACCACACAGTCCAGCCAGAAGGAAAAAACAAGTTAATCCCCTTTTCATCATGCCATTGACTGGTTGTCTGGAAAGTAAGCTACTGCTAGCTGTTGCAAAAATTCCTGTGGGGAAACTGGACTTCACCTGGCTGAGTTAATGTATGTAGTCTTCAAAAGAAAAGCAGGTGAAACCCTGTAGATAACATCAAAGGTGCTGTTTGTGCACGCAAAGGTATTATTGTGTTTTAGTTTAGACACAAGGGTTGGTCAAGACAGTGATAATATGAATATAAACAGTGACAGGACTGCTACCACTTGATGTTACTGACTCCATGTTCTCCCTGTCCCCTGCACCACAAGATTGGGCTATAACAATGCTGGCCCTTTTAACATTTCTGGGTGCGTTTGAAAGTGTGTTTGCAGAGGTTCATTCAACATTTTACTTTGTGCATTCTCTCACATCACTGGTTCCTTCATCTCAATTATGGGTGGAAACAGTTACTGTTTTGAACTTCATTTGATCCGTCTCTTGTCTGGTGCAAGTCTCAGGAAACTGGAGTTCCTCCATCTATATCTGAATGGCCTCCTGATCTGAATATCCTGCTATCAGCAATGTAATTTGGATATGGAAAAGGCTCTGGCAACTCTCGCCATTACAAAATATTGATCAATGACAAGAACATCCTTTATCCACCTTAGGAACTGTTTTATTTGTGACTAATTCTTAACACAAGAACAGATTGCTTCTTTCTCCAAAGCATCAAGTCTCAGTGGCATAATTCATTTACAGAAAATCCAAATCTCAGCTTCAGTCCTTAATCAAACTTCTGGATAAGATGGCATCCCCCCAGATTTTGTTCAAAGAGCAAGATTCCAGACAAGTCCCCTTCAGATTTTTCTACTATACCTTTAGGAGACAATTGTAAACAACTAGACCCAGTAATCTCCTTCCATGGTTCCTATCTCCCTGCAGTATTAGTCCAAGTCCTTCATACTTATTAGAAGTCAACATCCAGAAATTGGAATAAATTGCTATGAAAACAAATGCTTCCTTCTCTGTATGGGGAAACTTTCTGCCAGATGTTAGCCATCCAGGGCGCACAGTCATCTGCAGAATCTCTACTGAAAATTGATATTATGAAACTCAGAAATATATAACCAGTGTACTGCTATTTTTCTTTCTGAGGAACTTTCACGATGTTATAAGGATACATAACATGAAATAAGAATTATGTCAAAAAATAGGGAAGGATCAATTTGAGATCCCTGATTAGAGAGGCCATAGTTTTCTTCTCCTGGGCATAGAATCATCTCAATTGTCAAGCATCTGCAAGAATTCTGAATATCCAGCCAAACTGCTGAGCCATTAGTAAGTGTATCCAAGATAATAGTCTCTCTACCCTGAGGTATTCACATGATTATCAAACAGCTAAGGGCTACAAAACCTACTTAGGTCAACACCCCTGCTCCCCTAAACAGCACAAAGGATTTGCAGACTCTCCGCTAATTAAATAGTCTAGAGAGCTCCTGTATGCCTCCTCCCACTTGAGCTAATTTCTCTGAAAGATCAAAAACCCCAGAGCTTATTCTAACAGTACCCAACTGGCTCAGAAGGCCTTGGTGAATCTATCTATATCCCAACCAATTCCTGTTCTCCATTCATCACAAGAACCCTAACTTTGTAAAATTAACCACTTGGAAACTGAGCAGAGTTCCTCTCTTACTTAGGCTATGCAGAAAAGACAGCATTCAAGCTAAGGATGCCTCTTGGAGGGTATCCAGCAACAATACTGTACATATGAGCGCATTAGGAAAACATACTGTACTGACACCGGTACTAATCAAGTTTTATCTGTGCTGGCCATTTCATTCAATTTCATTTTATTTATCTTACATTATCTTTAAACTTATTTTATTCCTATCTCTTATGTTATGTAAGACTAGTCAGTGACCAAAATAAAGTACTTTGACTTACTGACACTGGTATTTTCAAAACAATCCAGACATATACCCAACTTTCTGGATTTTTTCTAGGAGGATATTTCTGCATCCCTTAAACCTAACCATTTGAAGGTTTCTGATATTGAGCCTAAACTGTATGTTCAGAAATCTGCACAAGCCATCCTTTGAACTAAGGATGGATTCTCTAAAAGGTATGACTATCAACAACTTCTAGCTATTTTGGAATTAGGAACTCTATCAGCATAAAAAGAATTATATGTTTTATCAAGATAAGGTTCAGAGCTCAAGTATACTTGTTCCACTTTTTCAGAGCTCAGGTATACTTGTTCCACTTTTCCCAGTTCCCTTCAGAATACCATATAACATAAACCCCCAATACTGTATAGCCGAATTTTAAAATACATTTCTGCATATCCAGGACTCACCTATGATGCCACTATCCCTGCTTTCAAGAGTAGATGTGGGACTTGTGACAGCTCCATAACTGCAGTCCTTTGCTATAACATCCTTAGCGCTAGTTTGAGGGAGGGTGGAGCAAGGGCTACTGGCAGGTGGTGAAGCAGTACTGCTGGTCAGTGTGGAACAGGGACTTATTCGCTGGGACACCGCTGAAGTCTGGAAAATTGGAAGCAGGTACACAGTCATCACAGTGTGTCAGTAAAGCTTATAGGCTTTCACTATAACACAGTGAAGAATTCACTTAATATAATCACAGATATGTTAGACTATTGGAAAGCTGATACACAGATTTACTCTTCCATTCCCTTATAAACTGTATCATTCATTCTGCTCTTTAGATATAGAACATGTGAAAAATGCATTATTTCAGCAATAATGAAAACCAAACTTAGCACAAGATGAAACCAGTAGCATTAATATATCTTCTCCTGCCCAATACCTTTTAAAATCCTGTATTTTAGTGAGTTCCAATAAACCTTGACTGCTGGCCTCATATATTTTATTATATACAACAAAATAAAAACAATTTTATTCTTTGGGAAAGGTGGATATTTTTAATTACTTCTAATTTGCAACAAAATAAATATAGATAATTATTATTTTGGAACAGCACATTTCAAACAATAATTTATTTATCTATCTATCAATATTTATAAGCTGTCTCCACTCCTTATGGACTCTGGCCATTTTACAATAATTCAAAAAATGGTTCAGTTTAAAGAAACAAAATAATAACACTCACAATGATGTTCACCCAAATGAGCCAAAAGTTCACTGGAACAATATCGCTTTTACCTGCTTCTTGAAAACAAAGAGGGTTGGAACCACTCATACTTCTGACTGGCAGGGCATACCTGCTGATGGCATGGATCTTGTTCTTCCTATTGAGCTGGCTCTTCAGGATCTGTCTTATCCTTTGGTGTTACTTGGATTTTGCTGTCTTCCTTGCCTCCTCATCATGGTTCCCACATGACTGTGGGATTCCAAGGTACTTGCAGCTGGCCTGTATGTCTGCCATGTGGCCTGCTGGTAGTTCCACCCCATCAGTCTTAACTACCTAGTGCTGTGAGCCTTTGTTTAACAGTCTCTAGGGCTTCAGATGGAGTCAGGCCCTTGTATTTTTTCAGTAGCAGTGCTGTGAGCCTTTGTTTAACAGTCTCTAGGGCTTCAGATGGAGTCAGGCCCTTGTATTTTTTCAGTAGCAGTGCTGTGAGCCTTTGTTTAACAGTCTCTAGGGCTTCAGATGGAGTCAGGCCCTTGTATTTTTTCAGTAGCAGTGCTGTGAGCCTTTGTTTAACAGTCTCTAGGGCTTCAGATGGAGTCAGGCCCTTGTATTTTTTCAGTAGCAGTGCTGTGAGCCTTTGTTTAACAGTCTCTAGGGCTTCAGATGGAGTCAGGCCCTTGTATTTTTTCAGTAGCAGTGCTGTGAGCCTTTGTTTAACAGTCTCTAGGGCTTCAGATGGAGTCAGGCCCTTGTATTTTTTCAGTAGCAGTGCTGTGAGCCTTTGTTTAACAGTCTCTAGGGCTTCAGATGGAGTCAGGCCCTTGTATTTTTTCAGTAGCAGTGCTGTGAGCCTTTGTTTAACAGTCTCTAGGGCTTCAGATGGAGTCAGGCCCTTGTATTTTTTCAGTAGCAGTGCTGTGAGCCTTTGTTTAACAGTCTCTAGGGCTTCAGATGGAGTCAGGCCCTTGTATTTTTTCAGTAGCAGTGCTGTGAGCCTTTGTTTAACAGTCTCTAGGGCTTCAGATGGAGTCAGGCCCTTGTATTTTTTCAGTAGCTGAGTCTTATCCTTAATCTCCACACCCTTCTGTAGTTCCATCAGCTGACTAACTTCTTTCTGAGTTGCCTTGATCTTAGCCTCCAACCTCATTTTCCAGGGGTGGTTATGTACTGCTGTTCTTCTTGATTGTGCGAAGCATCTCCAGGATTATAGCAGCTGTAGCGTATACCAGTTCATTGCTTTGAGTTATGGTGGTAGTAGGGATTGTCATGAGGGATCTATTGGCATCTTCTAGCATACTATCTCATGGTACTTCTCCACTGAGCCTTGGTAATTGGTCTTGACTGTAGCTAGTTCATCCATGATCTTATGCCTCATATCAGCTGCTGTGCTCTGTAATG